AAAAATTTTTTTTAAACTTTAAAAGGCTGTCAATATAGCTCAGTGCAAAGGCCCTGGATTCAATCCCTATTACCACCATACAAAAAAAGGAATCAATGATACTAACAGAGCCAAAAAACTTAGAAGATCTGAACCAAAACTGAACATGGTAACACATGTCTGTAAATCCCAGTACTTGGGAAGCTGATGTAGGAGTATCCCTGTGGGTTCTAGGCCAGCCAGAACTACAGAGTGAGACTCTATCTAAATTCATGGGTTCAATTCATTGTTTAAAAAAAAAAAAAGGCTGAGGATGTAGCACCATGGAGAGAGATAAAGAAAGAAAGGGCTAGGGGCTGAGGATTTAGCTCAGTGGCTTAAGTGCCTGCCTGGCAAGTGTAAATTCAATCCAATACCCAGTACCAAAAAAAAAAAAAAAAAAAAGAGGGAGGGAGAAAGAGGAGAGAGAAAGACAAAGAAAAAGAGAGACAGACAGAGAAAAAAAGTAAAGATCAGAAAAAAGTAAAGCATCACTACCTGGCATGGTGATGGTGCACGCCATAACACTAGCACTCTGAGAAACTGAGGCAAGAAGATCACAAGCTTGAGTGATTTACCTAGCCAGACTCTATGCTTAAAACATTTTAGCCAGGGATTTAGCTCAGTGGTTCAGGTACTCACCTGGCAAGCATACGGTCATGAGTTCAATCCCCGGTACCAAAATAAATAAATAAAATAAAAATGAAAAAATTTTAAAGGGTTGTGGGTGTAACTCAATGATCCTTGAGTTCAATCCTCAGTACCCCTCCCCTCCAAAAAACCAGGCACTGTGGTACACACCTGTAATCCCAGCACTCAGGGAGAGACAGGAGAATCACCAAGAGTCTGAGGGAGTCCTGGGCATACAAAAGTAAATTCCAGCTGGAATTACACAGCAAGACCCTGTCTTAAAAAAAAAAAAAAAAACCAGGAAAAAAAAAAGTCCAGAAGATGAGTGTGGTGGTGCATGCCTGTAATCCCAGGACTGGGAAGGCTGAAGCAGGAGGATCACTGTGAGTTCCAGATCAACCTGGCCTACAAAGTGAGCTCAAGGCCAGCCTGAACTATATGACAAAACTCCGTCTCAAAGACAAAAAAAGAGACAAAGAGAGAAAAAAAGAAAAGAAAAGAAAGAAAGAAAGGGAGAGAAGTCTAGTTATGAGTTAATAATGAAAAAAGAAATAGAAAAAATGTTTGAGACAGGATCTATGCAGTCCACGATGGCCTAGATTTTTTGGTTGTTTATTTATTTTTTTCCCTTGTCAAGGTCCAGGCTGACCTCAAACTCACAGAGATCCTCCGGCCTCCAACTTCTGAGTGTTGGGATTATAGGTACACACAACGACAACCTGTTTAAAGGCATCTTTCATAAGAAACTAGTAGTTTTCCTGTTGACTTGTATTTCTTTTCACCCTGAGTCAGAGAGAGCTCTAACAGGGACATAATAAAGACCTTGAGAGGTAGTGAAAAGACAAAAATAGATATTGAACACTTCTCTAAGAAAGAATTCACTTCTCACCAAGAGCACTGTGACTTCACACTTACGTTTCCTCTGGTCAGCTGTAAAATTTCAGCCTTTCCCCTGGCCACTTTGCTTCTCACATTTACTCTCACTTCTCAATTTATGATATTAGAATCATCTTTTTAAAGTTGCTACACAGGCCAGGCATGGTAGTGCAAGCCTGTAATCCCAGTACTCAGGAGGCTGAGACGAGATCACTGTGAGTTCAAGGAAAGCCTGGGCTACATGGTGAGTTCAGGGAAAGAGGGAAGGAGGAAGGGAGGAAGAGGGAGAGGGAAAAGGAGAAGGAGAGAGAATCAGCGAGAGAGAGAGAGAGAGAGAGAGAGAGAGAGAAAAAGAGACATTCACTATACTTTAACAGTTCAACTTAAGTATCAGACTCATGTCTTTTCTGAAAACCTTCCAAGCCTTCTGCCCTGTTCTGCTGCATTATACAATGTTATGCTGCCAAAGTCTTATCTCATTTCCTCTTCTAGCTTATACTAATATGATGGCATACATCAATAATGTCCACTCCCTCTCCACAGTCTTCACAGCTGACTTAGAATGGACCATTTTACCCAATCATAAGAATCTGTCACGCAGGTTCAACCCAAGATGCCTTCCTTTACTGACAATATTCATATTTAACCTTCTCTCAAGTCTTGTAACAAGGTATACCTCCTCCACAGCTTATCATTTATTCTACTTCAACAATTCTGAGACATCATTTTGGCTTTTTCCTCACATTTTAACATCTCTGAAACAAGGATACATTTTACAAATGATAACATGGCAGCCTAATAAGAACATTTATTCATTCTTAGTGGTATGTAAAATATGTGATTAGGACTGGGGTGTAAGCTCATTGGTAGAGTCCCTACTTATGATGGGACTGATCAGGGTAGGTCTGATTTCCAGCAGTGTCAAAAAAAAAAAGGTGGTGGGGGGATTTTATAATCATTACCTCTACAGAATTGATGAGGGGAAAAAAAGGTAGTCCATTACAATTACTTTGTATATTTCTATTTCTACTACCAGACTGCCAACTGCTACAGAGCAGAGGCTATGTCACCATGTTTGACCAGCATAGATTTTGGCACAAAAGAAAGTTTATATTCAATAAACATTAATAATAATGTTTATTTAGTATTTAATAAGTATCATGTACTATTCTAGACACTACACAAAATAATACATTTAATTCACCTAATAATTCCATGAAGTACAATTACTTTCTACATTTCATGGATGAGGAAACTGAGGTATAGCACTTGCTATAAATTCATTCAATGACAAAATAAAGCTACATAGGATCTGAACTGATGTTTGCTGACGTAATTGGTTATCACTGTTTTTCATTCAACAACTATTAATGATCATCAGATATGGTGGTACATGCCTGTAATCTCAGCACTCATGAGCCTGAGGCAGAAGAATCACTTTGAGTTCAAGTCCCACCTGAACTATATGACAAGATCCTGTCTAAAAAGACAAAAAAAGGACCGAGGATTTAGGTCAGTGGCATAAAACCTGCCTAGCAAGCATGAGGTTGTGCATTCAATCCCCACTATCCAAAAAAAAAAGTATATATATATATATATATATGCAGTTCCCATAAGCTAATTAACTACTAACAAGGCTATTCTGAAAGTGGCTTTTTTTTTCTTTTTCAGAGTCTTAATAAATCATCAAGTTGCCCAGATTAGGCTTGAATTTTTGATTCTCCCACATCTGCATGCACCACTACTGCCCTGCCCCGCCTTCCTCTTTAACAGCTTGTCATATTCTCACCCTTTAAAATTGTCAGCACTACATCTGGAATCAAAGCAAAACACAGGCGTGGGATATAGCTCAATGGCACAAGCGCCTGCTTGGCAGTTCCAATCCCTGGTACAAACAAAAATAAAAATAAAAAAACAAAGAAATCTATTGGTTTTTTTAAAATTGTTTTCTTATTAATTAGGTGCTGTGAAACTATCATAGAGACTTCAGTTAGAAAAAGAGTTTCAAGTTTGAAAGGACTCAAGAAACAAAAAATTCTGTTTTCAAACTAATGTATTCACTAAAAAAAGGAATGGGCAGGCATGGTGGTACATACCTATAATCTCAGCAACTGGAGAGGCTGAGGCAGGAGGACTGCTACAAGTTCCAGGCCAGCCTAGGCTGCAAAGTAAGCTCAAGGGCAGCCTAAACTACATTGTAAGAGCCTATCTAAAACACACACAGAGAAAGAAATGTATGTAAGCAGCATCATTTTGTATTTAAATAGAATATTTAGGGCTAGGGATATTGCTCAGTGAGACAGCACCTGCCTGGCAGGCACAAAGTCCTGAGTTCAGTTCCTGTTACAAAAAAAAAAGCCAGGCGTGATAGCACACACCTGTAATCTCAGTACTCAGAGGCTGAGGCCGGAGGATCCTTGCAAGTTTGGAGACAAGCCTAGGCTACAAAAGTGAGCCCAAAGCCAGTTTGAATACACAGTGAGATCCTGTTTCAAAAAGTAAAATAAAAAAAAAAAAAAAAAGAACCTTTAAAAAACTTTCCCAGCAAAGGGTGGTGGAACACACCTGCCGGAGAGTGAGGTAGGAGGACTGTTGCAAGTTCAAGACCAGCCTGGCCTACAAAGTGAGCTCAAGGCCAGCCTGAACTGCATAGTGAGACCCTGTCTCAAAAAGACAAAAAAAAAAGTTTTCTTAGAGCCATGAGATGCTTTTTTTTGGTCTTTTTCATTTTTATTGGTACCGGGGATCGAACTCACGACCACCTGCTTGCAAGGCAGGTGCTTATGCCGCTGAGCTAAATCCCCAGCCCCCATGAGATGCTTTTTAAAGAAAAATGATTCAGGGCCGGGGATTTAGCTCAGCGGCATAAGTGCCTGCCTTGCAAGCAGGCAGTCGTGAATTTGATCCCTGGTACCGATAAAAAGGAAAAAGACAAAAAGAAAAATGATTCACTTTATCAGACTAACAATAAGTTAACAACCTTATTTCTTTTATTTTAGCCCTTGCTACATTAGGAATTCACCAGAAGACTATATCCTCATAGTTCATTTCCCACTTTAGACAGACTGCTTATACAACTGGCAATCATGTAATGGGCTACCTCCTTTCTCTCCCCAAAGGAAACAAGTCCTCATTCGGTAACTATTACCTACTACATAAAAGTAACAACAATGCAAGGCATAGTGGTGCACACCTGCAATCCCAGCATTCAGAAGGCTGAGGCAGCAGGATCACCACGAGCCCCAGGCTAGCCTGGGTTACTCAGTGAGTTCAAGGCTAGCCTGAAGTATATAGTGAGATCCTATCTAAAAGCAAGCAAACAAACCAACAAAAAAAACAGTAACAAGAGCAGGGCATGATGGTCCATGGCTGTCAGGAAACTGAGGCAAAAATACTGAAAACTGGTAGCCAGCCTGGTCAATTTAGCAAGATTCTGTCTCAAAACAAAATAAAAGAGTGGACACAGTAGCACATACCTGTAACTAGCACTTTGGGAGGCTGAGGCAGGAGGATGGCAAATTCAAGTCCTTCCTGGACAACTTAGTGAGATCCTATCTCAAAATAAAATATAAAAGGAAGCCCTGTGTGGTAAAACACATCTGTGATCCCGGCACTGTAGGAGGGTGACAGCAGGAGGATCCCAAATTCAAGCCCAGCCTGGGCAACTTAGCCAGATCCTGTCACAAAATGAAAAATAAAAAAAGGGCTGGGGATGTGGTTCAGTGTGAAAGCTCTGAATTCAATCCCCAGTACCCAAAAGAAAAGAAAAAGGGCAGGTGCCTGGGCATGCAGCTCAACAGTATAGTAACCCTGGGTTCAACCCTACTACCAATAAATAAATAAATAGGTCTGGGGATGTCAGCTCTATGATAGAGCACCTACCTAGCATACATAAGGTTCTGGATTCAATTCTTAATACTGTAAGGAAAACTAAAAATTAAAAAGTACAGCAGCATAGTGCCTACCTGGCAAGTTCAAGGCCTGAGTTTGATCCCAGGTGCCAAAAAAAAGGTAACAGGTAAAAGAATAGAAGGCAATCTGGGTGTGATGGTGCATGCCTGTAATCCTAGCACTCAGGAGGCTGAGGCAGGAGGATAACCCATGAGTTTAAGGCCAACTTGAATTATAGAACAAGACCTTATCTCAAAAATAAATACTAAAAAGAAAGAAGGCAAAACATTCTCATCACAACTGAACAAATCTCTATTATTTTAACCTTATAAATAGCATTTATGGATTTGTTTGAACTGATGGACAATTTTTAATAGAGTAATACATGCCAGAATAATAAATGTTCAGTTATTAAAAGTAAGTTGTGGAACCGGGAATTTAGCCCAGTGGCATAAGCGCCTGCCTGGCAAGCACAAGGTTGTAAGTTCGATCCCCGGTACAAAAAAAAAAAAAAGAGGGCCGGGGATTTAGCTCAGTAACGTAAGCGCCTGCCTGGCAAACATGAGGTCATGAGTTTGACCCCTGGTACCAAAAAATAAAATAAAATAAAAATAAGTTACTAGCTCAGCTGCAACGTTTTCTACCTCTATTTTGACATTTTCTACCTCTATTGCATTTACCATGTGATAAAAACAATAAACTGGTAGTCTGTAATGATCTATGATATAATCAAAATACATAAAAAACATTGACACCCCCCCCAAAAAATGTGAAATTAGCAGGAAAGGAAAAAGGGAGTAGAAGAGGAATAATTAAAGTATGTTATGTTCATGTACAAATCTACCAAAATGAAGCTCATTAATCTATAGAATTGGAACCAAGGATATAGCTGACTGGCATAAGCACCTGCCTGGGAAGCTTTTAAATTTGCGAGTTCAATTCCCAGTACCTGCCCCCTTCCAAAAAAAGAGATAGCAATCTGTAGAATTAATATGCACTAATAAAAAAATGTGGTAGTAGAAAGAAGGCCATAATTGGGCTGGGGATTTAGGTCAGCAGCATAAGCACCTGCCTTGCAAGCAGGCGGTTGTGAGTTTGATCCCTCGTACCAATAAAAAGAGAAAAAAAAAAAAAAAAGGCCGTAACATCTCAGTTCTCAAATGCTTCTGTTCACAATTCGTTTCTCAAACAAAAGCATGTGACAAAATTTTGCTTCCATTCACAAACATTACACCAGGTGACAAACACAATTTTGGCCATCTTCCCCACACAAACACAAACTTGGTCATCTTCTCCAAAATTATAAAACAAATTAAGTTTGTGAATTGAGGTATCACTGTAAATATAAATTTATAAATACAAAAGTAGAACACATTTGTATTCTGTAATGATCTATGATAATAGTTAGAAATGTTTTGTTTCTGGTGCTGGGGATTGAACTCAAGGTCTTGCACATGCTAGGTAAGTGCTCTGCCACAGAATTACACCTTCAGTCCCTCCTTTTTAAACCATTTTCTAAGAAACAGTGCTACGTAGAGTGGATTTTTGGGAAAGCTAAAGAACTAGATAGAGAAAAAGAAGTTAAAGTTATACATTACTGTGCATTTCCAAGAAAGAGAGGTCAAACATGTTTTACCTGACAGAGAAGTTAAAGACAAGGGTTCATTTCTCCTCTTCTATAAAATAATTTAGTCCTCTTATCTGTCAATCTCCAAATAACTGTACAGCTACTTCCTTTTACTCAGCTAAAAGATAAATCCTTCACCCATTTCCAAAAGGCTTCACCATTTCAACTCTCCGAGCTGGGAAAGTTGAAGTACTGTATTCTTTCTGTCCTTTTGAAAGGAGTTTGCACCTGTCTTTCAAAAGCTATGGCTAAAAAGCCATTTTCTCTCTCTGGAAGCACATAGTAAAACTCTGTCCTTTGCTTTGTCTACCCTAAACAACAACAACAACAAAGGTTCAGGAGTGCTCCTTCAACCTTTCAAAGAAACCAGGCACCTCTTTAACTTGCAGAACGTTTGCCTTTTTCACTCTACCAGGAAGGTTCCAGGGACAGGCAAAAAAAAAAAAAAAAAAAAAAGAGTTGAAAAGCTGGTGTACACTTAGCTAAACTCTGTAACAGAAAAAAAGGTCATGGGGCAACCAGAATCCTTTGAAGAGAAAACCTTTTAAAATTTAAAAATAACAGGAGTTGAGCCAGGTGTGGTGGCACACATTTGTAATCCCAGTACTCAGGAGGCTGAGGCAGAAAGATTGCTGTGAATTTGAGGTCAGCTTGGGCCATATAGTGAGTCCAATGCCAGCCTGAACTAGATAGCAAGACCCTGTCTCAACTCCTCCCCCAAAAAAAGAGAACAGGGGCTTTGCTAGTGGTAAGCCCTTATGTAAGGCCCTGGGTTCAATATCCAGTATGCCAAAAGAAAGAAAAATCGAGCCAGTCAGGGTAAGTACAGGCCTGTGTAACTCCAGACTCCAGAGGCTGAGGCAAGTAGGACTGCAAGTTCAAAGCCAGGCCAGATAACTTAGTGAGTCCTTACTCCAAAATTTAAAAAAAGGGGATAGGAATGTAACTCAGTACTCTCTGGGTTTAATCTCCAGGACCACACAAACGAAGAGAAAAAAGAGAATCAGGTTTTCAGCAGGGGTACAGCTCAGTGACACAGCATTTGCCTACCACACAGAAGGTTCTGGGCTTGATCTCCAGCCCTGCTCCTCCCCCCAAAAAAAGAAGGAAAGAAAGAAATAGTATTTGCACACCCCCTGGGGAGCTCTCCTAAACTGTCTCAAACTAGTTTTCTCAAATCATAATAAAGTAGGTTACTACCAACAGTGTTACAAGGAAACCTGACTGAAGTTCAGAAAGCATTTAATGGATTGGTCCTCCATTCTCTATTTCCTTCCTCTTGGGTGAGGCACTACATATAATTTGTAAAAATGCCAGAATATGGGATTTCCCCATACAAGTCTGATGGCTAATTTGTCACATTACTGAAGAAATTGGTATTTCTGCACTGTACTTACATAGATGCAACATATTTATCTAGTAAGATTTTACAAATAATATTCTTTGCCTTGACAGAGAAATCAGTTATTTCACTAACAAGATAAGTCCTAAAATCCAATAGTGTTGTTGGTAATATATTAGCATCCTCACCTTACAATTCACAATTTTCATAAACAATCTCAACCATATACATGATGCTTGCAATAGTCCATCTGAGCCATATCTTCCAGAGTTCCAGAGGTTCAGAAAGACTAAACCTGCCCAGTTATCCCAGGTTTATCGGTGGTGGACGTGGGTATCCAGCCCGTCCGACTTGAAGGTTGTTCTTGGCCCTAGAACCGTTCCGTTCCAAGTTTAAACAGAGAGCTCCTGACCCCGACCCTCTATCCAGGGCAGCCTATTACTCCAGGTGATGGCTCTTCCCTGCCTAGTTCAGAGTTGATTTCCTCAGCTCCAGCAAGGCTTTCTTCTTCCACTACCCTCCCCCCGCGACCATTCTCTGAAAGAAGCGGAAAGGGAGAGGCGACCAAAAGCTCCTGGGGGGAAGGGATGATGACAAACCGGGAGTGCAGGACACTGGCCCTGCTGTGGGCTCGTTCACTGCTCACGTACAACCCCTTCCCCTCCTCCAAACAGCCCAGCTCTGGGACGGGATTCCCACCACCCATGCCCCAAATTCTACATCACTATCTCAAACTCCCCCTCCCCACGTCCCTCTGTCACCGACTGGCAAAGCCCACCCCCCAAGTCAGAGTAGCCTTCTGCTAGACCATCTCCCAAAAGTCCCCACTCTCCACTCCCCTTCCACCACCACTCACTGTCGGTGACTGGGCCCGGCCCTCATGGCTGCTTGGTAGCCGCCTGCTGCCGCTACCGCTGCTCTACGCCCCAAGCACCTCAGTCACTACCGCCACCGTCGGGACTCGCCAGCAACCTCTTCTGCGCCTGCGCAGCCTGGAGCGCCGGGGGCCCTAGCGGGCAGTTTGCGCCTGCGCAGCCTGACCTGGTGGCGTCTTCCTCAGTGCCTGATATTCTGCACTGCTAGGTCTCAGGTGGACATGGCCGCTGGCCATCCTTGAGTACTTATTAGACTTAGAAAATTGGTGGCTTCCCCAGGTTTTGAGGTGCCTGGAGTACATAGCTAAGATACTAAACTCTCGAATTGCGTTTTCCTTCGAGGCCACAGAGTTAATAGCACTTACAGCAGGCATTCCAGACCCTCCTTCCATTTATAGGCCTGAACTCAGGTGCTCTCAGGGGACCCCTGACAATAAATTTGGGATTCTTTCAAAAAGACAATCACATCTAAAATGTATGAAGGGTGATTATGAAAAAGTCAACTTTGACGTTCCAGAATACACTACTGGCCAGTAGTTGCTTTGCAGCAGTGGAGGACTTTGTCTCTGGGGTGACCTCACCTAGAATACACTGGGATATTGCTAAGTTCAGGTCCTTTACAAAGTCCGTTTATAAAGTGTATGCTATTTATTGGACGTCTTTTAGGTATTCCATATGTGCCAAAGAGGAATTTGCAGACAGTTTTCTACTTTCCTGCTCCCGGTGCGGATAAACCATTGTCTTGCTTGGCATAGCATAACAAGAGAGTTGGGAACTCAACAGTATAGACTTAAAAGTGACAGGCAACAGACTTTAAGCAACAGGAAGAGGCAATATATAATTAAACTCCTCCAGCAGGAGTGGAAGTGTGCACACCCATAATCCTAGCACTGGGGATCCCAAGCATTCGAGGCCAGTCTGGGCTACAAAGCAAGACCCTGCGTCAAACAAACAAAAATTTCTCCTGACTCTTTTCTTCCACCACACCCCCAGTCCTCACTTCCTGTCCTCTACAAAGTTTGGACAGAAAGGGACCAAGATATCATGCAAGGCAAAGAACAGTGAGGAAGAGGAAGGAAAGGAGAAATTTCAAACTTTCTGTGAAGGACATTTCTATTGTAGTCAGGATTGTAATTGTTCTCCTCACAATCAGAATACAGAATTTATAATATTACTTTATGATGGTCCCCCAGAGTTAAACACAAAAAGTTCAGGAACTCTGTCCACAACACTAAAGACCCAGAATATTCAGAGAAGGGCCTGGATCCCACAGCCATGTTCTGCCTGCCTGAGTCTAGCTGAAAACCCAGAGCCCATGACAATTGCCTCCCACGAGTCCAGCTGGAGGTCAAGAACCCATGCCAAGGACTGTTTTATGGATCTGCTGCGAAGGCCCAAAGGTCAGTGGAGAAAGCTAAAAAGTCTGTACCAGCGGGGTGAAGGAGCTGTGCCAGCAGGTTGAGAGTTCTACACTGAAGCTGAGAAGTCACACTCAAAATAAATGACCAATGCTGCCCTGAAAAGCACCGCACCCATCCTCAGTGACAAGGAGGACTCAAGGTCCACCAGTGATGAGAACAGTGAATACATGACAGGAAGCCAACATGATAAGCTTCTCCTGAAGATTAAGCAGCACACATCTTCACCTCTGGAGCCAGGAAATGATGTTCCATGTAAGGACCAAAGCTCCCCTCAAAATGAACCACAGCCACTCTCACTGACAAGGTCCCAAGCTCCTCTGTGATAATGGCCGAATTCATATCGGGAAAGCTAGTTACAACAAGCTCCTCCAGGAAAACCAACAGCTGGAAACAGCAACACTTAGAAAAACCCACAAATCCCAGATCTTCCTCTCCATGTCTCTGTTTATGCTGGCAACTTTCCTCAGGTGGGCCATCTACACGCAGCACCATGCTGATTTAATTCAACTGGTGTTAAGTAGACCAGCAGTTTTTAATCCATAACAATTACATTCTCTGTACTTCTAGGGTAATTTGTAAGGAAAGAAAAAATTACTTCCGATTCCAGGTTTTATATGAATATTTGAACTCCTAATCAAAGATTAAGGAATCTTTTCTTCGTTTTAGAAAGAAGCAAGAATAGGCTATAGAACCTAAAATGTACCAATAAACTTAATAAAAGGAAAGAAAAGAAAAATTAAAATTTAAAAAACAGTTGAAAATCTGGAAATAGAATGTCATAGAGGTGCTAGACACAATAGAGCCTAATTATAATTAATATTACTTATTATTCATTTTTTTCTTTTGTTTTGAGACAGTCTCCCTGTGTAGCCCAGGCCTCAAACTCACAGCAGTCCTCCTGCCATAGCCTCCAGAGTATTGGGATAATAGGTCTGTACCACTATACTCAGCTCATTTGTTTTGTAAAGGGAAGAAGAAAAATACATAGAACTCCCTATAATGGGATTCTTAGGTCACAAAAATAGAATTCTTCCTATCTTATTCTCAGAGACGCAATGGAGAACCTGAAGACTTTCTTCTCATCAGATGTTTTGTTTTGTTTTTTGAGACAGGGTCTTTCTATTCTATGTAGCCCAAGGTGGCCTAAAACTCGCAGAGATCCTCCTGCCTCAACCTCTATCAAGTGCTGAGATTACAAGCATGTGCCATCTTGCCCAGTTCAACTTTTAAATACAGAACTAAACATTGCTCTAGGAAAATAGTATACAAATTAGTGTCTAATCCAGTCCCTAGAAAATCAAATCTAGCCAAGCATGGTGGTGCCTATAATCCCAGCATTCTGAAAGACTGAGGCAGGAGCAAAATTTCAATTGCATCCTGAGCAATTTAGTGAGATCCTGTGTAAAAATAAAATCCAGGTACATGCCTGTAATTCCAGCACTCAGGAGGCTGAGGCTGGAGGGTTGCTGTGCATTTGAGGCCCGCCTGGACTGCACAGCGAGACTCTGTCTCAAAAAATAAAAAAGGGCTGGGGATATAGTGCAGTATGAAGGCCCTCAGTTCAATGCCCAGTGCAAAAAAAGAAAGGAAGAAAAAAAGAAAGAGAAAAAAATCTATGCATAGGACGAGGGATTTAGCTCAGCAGCACAAGCACCGGCCTGACAAGCACAAGGTCATGAGTTCAATCCCTGTTACCAAAAGATAATAGACATAGACCTAACATATGAGCTCGCCTGGTCAGGACCATCTTGATTTATATAGTATAAAAGACAACAGATGATAATCCCAGATACTTAGGAGGCTAAGCCAGAAGGATCACAATTTGGAAATCTGGGCAATTTAGCAAGACAATGTGTCAAGAAATAAAAAAGTATAGGCCAGGCATGGTGATACACACCTGTAATCCTACCACTCCAGACACTGAAGCAGGAGGGTCATTAATTTGAGGACAGCCTTGGGTACATGGGCAATTCAAGGTTAGTCTGAATTATATAGTGAGATCCTGTGTTAGAGAAAGACTGACAGTAGTACCACACACCTGAATTCAATTCCCTCTATCACAAAGAATATTACAGGGGCTGGGGATTTAGCTCAGCGGCATAAGCACCTGCCTTGCAAGCAGGCGGTCGTGAGTTCGATCCCCAGTACTGATAAAAAAGATTTAAAAAAAAAAAAAAGAATATTACAGTTGATAGTATGGGCAAGGTGGTACATGTCTGTAATCTTAGCATTTGGGAGGCTGAGGCCAGACAATCACCATGAGTTCAAGGCCTGGACCATACAGTTAATTCAAGACCACTCTGAGCTACATATCAAGACCCTGTCTCCCAGCTAGGAAATGAAGTTTCAGTTTTCTGACCTACAAAATGAAGTTGATAAAAACAATATATGCCATTCAGAGTAACTAAGAGTTATTAAATATGAGAGAAAATGCATGTTTGGTTTATGCTTATAATTACACTGGTTTATACTTGTATTATAGGGGCTGGGGATTTAGCTCAGCAGCATAAGCGCCTTCCTTGCAAGTGTGCAGTCGTGAGTTTGATCCCCGGTACTGATAAAAACGAAAAAGACAAAAAAATAAAAAATAAAAAATACTTGTATTATAAGTAACAGGTAAATGACAGATAATGATGACAATGAATATACTGTCTAATAGGCAAAATAATTTGTATGATTAGTAACAAATCCACTATTACTGACTTTTGAACATGTTAAGAATATATGATAAATCCATCTCCGGTACCAAAAAAAAAAAAAAAAAAAAAAGACTTAAAGAATATATGATACTGGGCCAGGGAAGCACAAGGTCGTGAGTTCAATCCTGGTACCAAAAAAAAAAAAAAAAGAATCATTTAGAAATGATGGATAAAATGTGCTCATGGCCAAGGCATTCTTACCACATTGAAGAGACTGAGATGCCTTCAGGATCAGTCTAAATTCCACAAACATTTGACACTACAGTGCCATCTTGCAGATGGACTGATGCCTTTGTAAACCAAGTATGTATCTTTGGGTCACAGATAGAATTTATTCTCCTGTTCAGTTCCCAAAAAGAAAAAAAAAGAGGGCCAGGGATTTAGCTCAGCAGCATGAGGTCATGAGTTTGATCCCCAGTTCCAAAAAGAAAGAAAAAAAGAGAAAGAAAGACACTGTCTCAACAAAAGAAAACAAACCAAAGAAAAAAAGAAAGAAAAAAAGCTGACAGGGCAGGGTGATAGGAAGTGTTATCCTGTGGGCAGGATCCAGGATCAGTCCCAGAAGCTAGCTCCTGACTTTGTATGGTTTGATTTGATTTGAGACAGGGTATCTCTATGCAGTTCAGGATAGCTTAGAACTATGTAGCGCAAACTGGCCTTGAACTCACAGGGATCCTCCTGCTTCAGCCTCCTGAATGCTGGAATTAACAGGCATGCACCAGCGCACCAAGTTTATCTCCTAATTTTGAAGAGTTGGCTTTAATTGCAAAACTATTACCTTTTGGAAAGTAAACATGTTTGGCATCACAAGGAATGTATAGAGCCAGGAAAGAGGAAAAATTGAGCCGGGTGTGTTGGCTCACGCCTGTAATCCCCACACTCGGGAGGCTGAGGTGGGAGGATCGTTGGGAGTTCGAGACCAGCCTGGGCTACAAAGTGAGCTCAAGGCCAGCCTGAACTGCATAGCGAGACTCCATCTCAAAAAA